ATTCTACTTCAGGATATATACACAGCAGAGCTGAAAACTTGGTCTCAAAGACATATTTGAACACCCATGTTCATGGCATCATTGTTCATGATCGCTGAAACGTGGAACAAGCCAAGGATCCTGTTGGGTCATTTAGTGATTCTATTTTTAATTGTTTTAACTGAAAGGCCATGCTGATTTCCACAGCAACTATACCATTTTACAGTCCAGCCACAGTGGACATGGGTCCAATATCTCCACATCTTTGCCAGCATGCCTTTCTTCACTGTCTATTTTTTTGGAGTGCCGTCACATGGATGTGAGGTGGTATCTCATTGACATTTTGACTTACATTTCCCCAGTGATTAGTCACATTAAGCATCTTTTTATATGCTTGTTGACCATTTGCGTATCTTCTTGGAGGAAAAGTCTATTCAAGTACTTTGCTCATTTTTGATTTGGGTCGTTTGTTTTGTTGTTGCTGAGTTGAGAAGTTCTATGTCTATTCTGGATATTCAGCCCTTGTCTGATAGATCATTTGCAAATATGGTCTCCCAGGCTGCATGGGTTGTGTTTTCACTCTGTTGATATTGTCTTCAGAGGCAGAAAGGTTTTTAATATTCATGAATTTTGGTGTGTGTACTCTGTTTTTTATTGCCCATGCCTTGAGTGTTATATCTATGAAATCATTGCCAAGTCCTATTGTGAAACGTTTTGTCCCATGTTTTCCTAAAAGAGTTTCAGTTCTTACATTTGGGTCTTGATCCATTGAGAATTAAGTTTTATATGTGGTGTGAGGTCAGAATCCAAGTTTATTTTTTTGCATGAAGATATCCACTTTTTCAGGAACCACTGGTTGAAAAGACTGTCTTTTCCCCGTTGAACAACCTTGGCCACCTTATTTCTGGGCTCTCTATTCAGTTCCGATGCTCTATGTGTCTGTCTTTATGCCATTACAAAGCTGTTTTGATATTGTAGGTTTGTAGCAAGTTTTACATCAGTAAAAAGAGAGTCCTCCAACTTAGTACTTCCTTTCAAGACTATTTTAGACATCTGGGCATACTTGAGATTCCATATGAATTTTAGGATGGGTGTCTTTCAGCACAAAATGTCATTGGGATTTTGATAAGGACTGCATTTAATTGGCTCATGTCTTTGGAGGAAGCTGACATCTTAACAACAAGGAGGCTTCCAATCCACGATCACAGGACGCCTCTCATTTCTGGTAGTGCCGGGTGGTTGTTCAGGTGGAGGGGACAGCACTCTTCCAAGTAGTCACGCAGGGTCCCAGAATTCCTCCACACTGTGCCTTCAGCATTTCCTCAGAACTCATCGACATCGGCCTCAAGTCAAGGGAGAGAAAAATGCGTGTCAAATGCATGTGGGAAGTTTTCAAGGACTGGGTGTGGATGTAGCACACATCTGTGCCACCCTCTCCCCTGGCCAGAACTACGCATGGAACCAAGCAGACCCTAACAGTCGGGACTGCAGGCAGAATCAGCGGACCCCACCAAATTTGGGACTGTGGACTAACCAAGGGCTAGAGACTCAGTGTCTCAGGGAACCATATGCCAGCTCCAGCTGCCTGCTAACACTTTGACTGGCACTGTGGACGAACCCAGGGCTGAGACAGATGCTCTGCTAGAGCATCCTGCCAAACTACACTGGCCCGTTAACCTGCGCCTGGAAAGTCACTTAGATCAGGAGCTCAATGCAAGGAGAGTGGAGCTGAGATGCACGAGACACTTACCCACAGCCCTCAGAGACAGCAAAAAAGACGGAGAATCCAAAGGCTTCATGGGTACCAATGCTTGTGTTTCTCATCCCCGAAGCCATGAGAAGTCTCCTTCCAATCCCGCTGCTGCCACCAAGCTGTTAGAAAGAAAATACAACTGCATAAGTCGAAAGAACTTCATTGCTTTATTCACCAATTCCTGCATCCGGAGGCATCCAATCTAGCAGATAGAAAGGAGCTCCAAGGAGCTGTACAGAATGAAAGACTTTGAAAGGCAAAAGGGAGAAGAAAAAGAAGTCACAGCAGGCGGGAAGATCGCTCGGTTATTGCAAGGTTACTTTCCTCAGGGGACAGCAGCAGTCTATGACGTGGAATACCTACCTAGGGCTGATGGGACAAATTCCTTGACCCACTGGTTTAAGATTCTGTTTCCGGGAGAGTCGAAAATCTAATGAAGTCAAGACTCAGTTTGGTGACGTGGGGCTCAGCATAAGAGGCTCCTCTTGGGGCCTGCTGTCTGGTTTTGACACATGACTCTGCTGGCCCCCTGCTGTCCCCGGGTACACCCGGGTTTCCCTTCCTGAGCATTGTTGGTCACACATCCACTGCACCTGCCTCCACTTCTCCCCCTTCCACACCGCAATCCCCGCCATGACTCCCTGTGACACTATCACGACTTCTCCCACCACACTGCCCTGCTTTCCACAAGGCCAGCAAGAGGCTTCGTAAGCACCACTTCCTCAGTCCAGTGGGCTGAGCGGGCTGCCCAGCATAGGGACTCAGAAACTGCTGGGCCTGTCACACGGCCTCCAATCACCGGTACCCCAGCGGAAGTGCCTGCCCTGATGAGAAACTCAAATTTAGCCAGCTCCATCGAACAGCATCTTTGCCCCAAGCTTCCCTTCAAAATGCTCCACCCATTTTCTGCCCCAGCTGTTTTTTGAGGAGTCATTTTGGGGGAGCCTTTGAGGCCACCTTGGTGATTCTGTGCCCTGGCACAAGCAGCTCTTGACACATACGCCATTTGATTGTATCACCTGGAATCGTAGAGTACAGGGAGCCAGTGGATGGGCACCAATCACTGGTTTGACCACCAAGAGCTTGTGAATATTTCACAGCAGGATCGTCCACTTTCTGGTTTCCCGTGGGCACACATCACACAGCGCTCCCTGGTACCCCGCTCTCCCCCACATCCTCTGACCAGCTTTCCCCAGGAGATGCTCTGCAGTACATCATTGTCTCCACCGACCTGCCCCTAGAGGTGTACCCCACAGGCCACAAGTCCCTGAGTTTCCTGCCTGAAAGGCTACCACCGACCCAAAGAGATATGTCTGTTCTACTAGGATGACTGGACTGGCATAGAGGAGTGGCCCTAGCCACAGAAAATCAGGTAATTGAGGCCACCCAGAAGTGTGGAGAAACATAACCCAACACGGACAGCAGCTCCATGAGACTCTATTCTACTCCTTGTGGGACAGTCGCCTAAGTCTCTGCCAAATGGTTTTAGGAAACCACCTGGCCTCAGACTATCTATACTGGCCAAGGAAGGAGGGGTCGGGGCCCTCCCATGGTCTACCACCTGCATGTACATCAACAACTGACAAGTTCAAACCTACCTACACCAGAGGGTCCAAGAGGTGAGAATATTGTCGAGTATCACCGCGATCTCTGAACAGATTCCCAGGGCCCCCAAGACCACTGAGCTATTTTCTTGGCTGGTCTTTTCAAGGTGGAGACCGTGACTATGGGCTGGATCTCAGACTGTTGCTTGTGTGATTAGCGTACTTGCTACTAGACCCTAATCAGATGTTTACTCTCAGGGCTACAACATGCCTTACCCCTAATAGCTGCATGAATTATCCTAACTTTAAATTTTTACTAAGAAAAATCTACTTAATGTAAAATACACCATTTTAAGTATTTTAAAGTATACAATTCAGTGACTTTTAGGACAATGATAAGTTTGTGTGGCTGTCACGACTATCTAATTTTCCAGAGCATTTTCAACACCCCCAAAGGAAACCTATACTCATTCGCTCTCTGCTTTGCCCTAACCCAAGTCCACGGAAACACCTCATCTGTTTTCTCTCCCTGTGGATTTGTTATTCTGGACATTTCATTCAAATGGAATCACAGAACCTGTGGCCTTTGCGTATGTTTTCAAGTAGCGCACATTTTTTAAGGTTCATCCAGGGCCTAACACATAGCAGAACTTTCTTCCTGGAAAGGGAGGCAGGGGCCATATCATCAGGGCACAAAGTGGAGGCGTTTGATCTTACTCCACCTGGGAAGCCTGCAGAACTCTCACATGGGGCTGTGACACAGTCCTCGGGTGTTAGGTTATAACCACAGTAAAAGTTAAGTTACATACCCTTGTATGCTTTTTTCCTGTTCATGTGTTTTTGTCAGTTTAATTTTCAGATCCAGCCAGGGACCCTAAGAGGGTCAAGAAAATCTTTTCCTTGCCTATAATAGGTAATAAAAGTAAAGTTAAAAAAAAAAAAAACAACTTTCCTCTTATTCTGCGTCCTGATACTGCCATCTCTCTGCAGTTGGAAAACCAAAGTGAACCTCGCCTGGTGAGGGAGAAGCGGCACCTGCCCACCCAGCCATCGCTTTTCCTTTGTCTTAGAATATTTGACACACACTTCTTCTAGAAATTATTTGTTGTTTGTCTGAAACTCCAATTTCACTGAGAATCCTGTGTTTTGTTTGACAGCCCTAACATTGATGTGTCCGACAGTCATATTCCTCAGGAGCGTATGCTTACATAAACATATTCAGATTAGCAGGAAAATAAGTTTTTACAGTGATAATTACTTCTCTCTCAAACGTGACCTTTAGAGGTAATGAATTGCACACATCAAGACAAAACTAGGATCCCCTCCTCATAACTCTGAATAAGTCATAAAAAGCCATGCCAGAAGTATCAGATTATTTTTTAACAAATATAACTGTGTACATGGACAAAGAGTTAAGTACCCTGACTTAACATTCATTACAATTTGTGGAAGACTTTGAAATAGTGAAAAATGATTACTGAGTGTTCTGTCTTGTGCATCCTTCTGGATTATCTCCTCCTTTGCTGTTTTTTTGAGCTATTTACAACTCTATCAATGGTAGATAACTGAGAGCAATGCAAACAACTCTTGTCTAGAAATGTGCAATGAGTTCCGTCCAGTGAAGGAACAATGGTTTTTCTCCCAAACCTTGTGGGAAAAGCCAGTTTGGCATCGATTTTCTAGTCATTTCCACATTTCCCCTCTAGCTAGCTAGCTGACTAGCTATCACTTTGAATTCTCCTTTGAACCAGTTACAATATCTTACTGATTCCCTCATTAATTAATGAATTAAATAATTAAATAAAACCTCCTACACATATTCATTTTAGATGTGTATGAGAATCATGATTTTTACCTTTAAAAAATATGTATCCTTTAGCAATACTCTTTTATGAGGAAGATTGGCCCTGAACTAATGTCTGTTGCCAATCATCCTCTTTTTGCTTGAGGAAAGTTGTTGCCGTGCTAACATCCGTGCCCATCTTCCTCTGCTTTATGTGGGATGCCACCACAGTGTGACTTGACAAGCAGTGCCATGTCTGCACCCGGGGTCTGAACCCACAAATCCCGAGCCGTGGAAGCGGAACATGCAAACTTAACCACTATGCCACCGGGCCAGCCCCAGCAATACATTTTGAAAGATAAATCAGTTCACTGATGTTTGATCATTTAGTGCTAGGATATATTCTCAGTCATCTCAGGAGGGGTTTTGTTTTGTTTAGCAATTCCAAAACAAGTTATTTGTTTACAAATATTTTGGTAATATTTCATGCTAAAGGGAAATAACTGTAGTGACCGACAAGATAAAATGTGAGACATTGTTTGTCATAGGAAAACTTAGCAAAGTAACTGGATGAAAGGATGAGGGAAGGGCAAGAGAATGATAATGAATATTTTGTTCAGTAAAATGAAAAATAACCCTTAAGCCAAACCCCTTGGAGAAGATGGACCTGGCTCTAGCACCGTGGACTCAACCAGCAGCTGTCATCTGAGGCAATTCTTACCCAGTTTGAGGACCAGTCCTGGGGGAAGGAGGAAGGAAGGGAGGAATGGGGAAGAAAAGCCTTCAACACCTTCCCCGAGACGCCAACACAGCATTTCTGTTCTGTTTCACCCCTTCCAGATATCTCCAGTTCAAAACAGCCCGCCCCGGTGACGCTGTCCCTTTGAGGACGTAGGAAAGAAAGGAGTTCTCCTCGTCCCTCCTAGGGTCCTTGGACGGGTCTGAAAACTAAACTGACACAACAGGTGAACAGGAGAAAAGCACGTCAATTTTACTGGATTTTTACGTGTACATGGGAGCCTTCTCAAGAAAATGAAGACCAGAAGAAGTGACCAGAGCAGGAAGCTTTTATATCTCTTAGACAAAGAAGCAATAAATTTGCGAAGACTTGACAAGACAAAGGGGTTTGGGCGAGAGGCAGTAAATGGGGAAGAAGTAACTAGGAGGGAAAGGGTCAGTCTAACAAGGTGTGTTTGCACAGATTTCTTGGCCCCAAATTCCCCATCTCTGGCAATAAGATCTTGCCTCCTCCTGGTCCAGGGTGGGGACTTTTCACAGGGAGTTTTATGAGCTGTTTCAGGGAAGAAGGGAGAGAGGAGAGGTCGGAGTGACCGTCCTGCCTTTGTGTCTTTTAAAACTCAAGATAGTTAAGATGCCAAGGTACCATATCTGGGCGCACTGTGTCCAGACACCCAGCGATGCCTGAATTGTGTGTAGGGCCCGTAGAGAGAGGGAACATGAGGACTCAGTGTTTCAAGGAGAGCCCAGGCGGGAAGCAGTGGTTTGGATGGTGGGTGGTTCTGGGCTGGATCCTGTAGGAAGCGAGTAGCTGGAAGAACAGGAACAGCCATGGGGGCATCTGACAGGCTAGATGTGTGAACCTCTGAGCACTCAGAACAACTAGGCAGACTCCCCCGCCACGTGAAGGCCCTTTAAGGCCCCGCAGCAATGCTCTCTCCCTCCTCTCCACGCCCCAGCCCTCCCGCTGCCCCGTCAGGAGCCTTCTAAGAGCCTGTGAGGGGTAGAAAGCAAAGGGTTTGCAAAGGTCCTGAGCACCAGTTTGGACTGGGTGTCAAGGGGCGAGTGGGGAGTGGAGTGGGTA